CAAAAATAAAAAACAACGAACCTAAAAAAAAACCCTGCCCAGAGCTCAAAAAATATAATTTAAAAAAATAAAAATTCCGGTTTGTTTGATTTCATTACTTTGACAAGTGCCTTGTGCCGTCGCGATGCCTCACATAATTATAATTCTACTTCACCTAGAAACAATGCTAATATATTTTCATTCGCTGTCTCTCATGTCCACAGCATGGAGGAAACTCACCAGTGGAGCGTTTGATGACCAAAAAATGGATGGCGGTCACTTTTTCCTTCTAGAGACGACAAATTCCGCTTGTATCAGAGAACACTTGAAAACAGCACTCATGTCCAACGAGCAAAGCAGTTAGTTTGTTATAAAAAAATCAGATATTATTACTAGATCTATTTACTAAAATTGTTGCACTGCACATGACATGTAAAGGCTGGAGAACGAGGGGGCGTGTTACAAATTTAATGATACATGTAATAAGTGTGATGATGTAAACAGCCTCCGGGGGAACATACGTGTATTGTGTAATTTATTATATATATATATTTATGTATATGCATGCATATCTCGCATAAAATTAGAAATTATGTTAATTTAAAACTGAAATTAAGCCTACAGCAATCTCTTCATTTAAAAAAAATTCATTTTTAAAAGCTTATTCTGAACATTCTTAATCTCAAAACATGTGCTTCCCTCACATCGTGTTGGAATCTCTGTTGGGGTGAGTCGTTGTTTGTTTCTGATGTAATCACATTGTCACCTAGTAACTATCTGTACTTCGTCATTACGAATTAATGATGAGTGCTACATGTCAATATAGTATGACTACAATGTCACTTTGTCGAACCACTTACTTTTTAGTTGTTTTTTTCAGACGGAATGCAGGAACCACACATAGTGAACTTTTTGTAATAGAAGAAACTTTATGACCACACTTCTGCAGGAGTATTTTGGTATTGTACAGGTTTTTTAGCTTGATTCTGCTGTTGTCCAACTATTGTTTCGTTTCAGAAGTTAAGGTGTGTACGAGATTTATATATGCCGTTAGTGAGTCGTGTGCGTGTAGTCGACTGCAAACATTTACATTTATTTAATTTACACCCCAATCAAAAAAATGCTCGGATTAATTTTATTTAGAACAAGGTCCGTTTCGTTCCTGCAGACAAAACCAACCGGGGTTGAGTGGGACACCGTATTCCCGCGGGACAGAGCTAACTGATAATACAAAACAAGAGTTTTCTGAAAGTGGATATCTAATTTAAGCCTAGATTGCACAGGAAAAAAACCTGACATCCATTACAAACGCCAGTATGTGTGTGGGTGGGTACACTACATAGGGCGATGGCAAAATTAAAATATAATGCGCCACATACGAGAAGAATAAAAAAAGAGAGAATTGGGG